GTATTTGGTTACATGAGTTGCTTTAAGTAAGAGTCAAGGTTAGAATTAAGAATCATTTGGTAAGTCTTGGTAAAGCCTTTTTGTTGTATTTCCCAGAAAGAAAGAAAGCCAATGATTCTAACAGCTTGGAACACATCTTCCTGTGGGTCGGGCCTTTTCTAATCCATCGCTTGCATCAAATTCCAAAGAGGACCTTAATAAACTGTCACTTGATAGACCATTAAAATTATTTTCTTGACAATAAATTATTTTTGTGATACATGGCAAATAACTCAAGAGTTCAAAGACTGTCATCACTCTAACAAATTTTTTCCAATTCCCATCTAAATATTTGTGTAAACAAAATATTTCAGCATTTGTATCTATAAGAAGGAAAAATAGGAATAAAATCAATGTTAAACCCTGTCTCATTCTAGCAGTAATATATTCATCCACAAATCACAAAATCCCACTCATCTCATTTAAATGCTAGACAACAGGGAATAGGCAAAATCCCAAAGAATAACAATCTCAAGGGAAGCTAGACAGAAAAGGCACTATGCCTATAGAGGAGCAAGGATAAAAATTACAATGATGTCTCCAGAGAAACAGTGCAAGCAAGAGGAGAATGAAGTGAAATATTTAGTGTTGAGAGAAAAACCCCAACCAACCTAGAATTCTGTACCCTGTAATATTATCCTTCAAAAGAGAAGAAATAAAGCCCTCCTCAGGCAAACAAAAACTGAGGGAATTTGTTGCTAGGAGACCTGCCTTGCAAGAAATATTTTGAAAATTTCTTCTTTAAAATAAAAGTTCTTTAGGGATAAAGAAAACAATGTAGGTGGAGTGCCTGGGTGGCTCAGTCAGTTAAGCGTCCAACTTTGGCTCAGGTCATGATCTCATGGTTCATGGGTTCAAGCCCTGCATTGGGCTCTGGGCTGACAGCTAGCTCAGAGCCTGGAGCCTGTTTCAGTCTGTGACTCCCTCTCTCTCTGACCCTCTCCTGCTCACGCTGTCTCTCTCTCTCTCCTAGAAATAAATAAAACATTAAAAAAAAATGAATAGGCCTAGATCTATTAAAATGTGAATATCTAATAACCTTCCAAAAGAGAAAACAACAAGCCCCGATGAGTCCACTGGTGAATTCTACCAGACGTTTAAGGAATAAACTGTAACAATTCTCTATAATCTCTTCCAGAAGATAGAAGCCGAGGGAATACCTCCTAAATCATTCAAATGAGACCAGCATTACCCAAATACCAAAATCAAACAAAGACATTGCAAGAAAACTCAGACCAAGTTCTCTCATGAACATAGACACACAACTCTCCAACAGAAAATAAATCCAACAATGTATCAAAAGAATTATATACCGTGACCATGAAAAGACTATGTCTTTTCAACAAATGGTGATAAAAACTAGACATCCACATGCAAAAAAAAAGTTACTCTTGACACAAACCTTATACTCTTCACAAAAATTACCTCAAAATGGATCACAGATTTAAATGTAAAATGCCCAGGGGCTTCTGGGTGGCTTAGTCGGTTAAGCGTCCGACTTTCGCTTGGGTCATGATCTCACGGATCGTGGGTTCGAGCCCCGCATCGGGCTCTGTGCTGACTGCCAGTTCAGAGCCTGGAGCCTGTTTCAGTCTGTGACTCCCTCTCTCTCTGACCCTCCCCTGCTCACGCTGTCTCTCTTTCTCTGTCCTAAAAATAAATAAAACATTTAAAAAAAAAATAAATAAATGTAAAATGCCCAAATATAAATCTCCTAGGAGAAAACCTAGATGAACTCGGGTATGGCAGTGATTTTTGAGATACAACACCAAAGACACAATTGATAAACTGGACTTAGTTAAAATTAAAAAAAAAACTGTGACTGAAAGATAAGGTCAAGGAAATGAGCAGACAGACCACAAACTGGGAGAAAATCTTTGAAAAAAGATAAAGGACTGCTATCCAAACTATACAAGGAACACTTAAAACACAACAATAAGAAAATGAACAACCAGATTAAAAAATGACAGAAGATCTGAACACACACCTCACTAAAAAAGATACACAGATGGCAAGTAAGCACATAAAAGATGTTCAACACCATAGGTCACCAAAGATTGTAAAAGAAGACAACAGTGAGATACCCCCATATACCTATTAAAGTGGCCAAAATCCAAAATACCAACAACATCAAATGCTGGTGAGGATATGGAGAAACGGGAATTATCATGCACTGCTGCAGGAAATGCAAGATGGTACAGCCACTTTGGAACATTTTGGCACTTTCTTACAAAACTTAACCTGCTCTTAACATACAACCCAGCAATCATGCTCCTTGGCAAAGAAGTTGAAAACCTATGTCAACATAAAAATCTCCACATGGATGTTTATAGCAGCTTTAGTCATAATTGCCAAAACTTGGGAGCAATTAAGGTGACCTTCAGTAAGTAAATGGATTAACTATGGTACATCCAGACACTGGAGTATTATCCAGCACTACAAAGAAGTAAACAAGCCATGAAATACATGGAGGAACTTTAAATGCATATTACTAAGTGAAAAAAAGCCAACCTGAAAAGGGGACATACTATATACTACGAATTATATGACATTTTGGAAAAAAACAAATTATAGAGATGGTAAGAAGTGGTTGCCATGGGCTGGGGGTACAAAGGGATGAATAGGCAGAGCACAGAGACTTTTTAGGGCAGTAAACCTAATTTTGTACAATACTCCAATAGTGGATACATGTCATTATAGATTTTCCAAAACCCAGAGAGTGTACAACACCTATAGTGAAGTCTAATGTACACTATGGACTTTGCATGATGTGACGTGTCAGTGTGGGTTCTGTGGACTCTAACAAATGTATCCCTCTGGTGTGGGATGCCGATAATGGCAGAGGCTAGACATGTTGGGGTATATGGGAATCCTCTGTACTTTCTGCTCAATTTTGCTGTGAACAGGAAACTTCCCTTGAAAAGTATATTGGTTTTTGAAAAGGTCAATATTTATAATCTTACAGAAATTACATCTTTCATAAGTATTTAAACTTAGGGTAGCAAATTTTAGATGTCAACTTCAAAATTTGCAAGAAGGTATATCATTTTTCAAAATTCTTTTAGGGTCTGTGGGGAGCAAAGTTTGTGGACTCCTAGTCTAAGACAAGGGCCTCATCATCCCCTAGGAAGCCATGTTTGGCAATTTGTGGGGCATTTTTGGTTGTCACAATGACTGGAGACAGCTACTGGCATTTAGTGGGAAGGGTGCCCATGAAGCTAAACATCTTAGAAGGGGTGGGGCAGCTCCGTAGGCGCTTTCTGCCATGACGCGCAGGGTTTCTGAGGGTCCCTGCATAATTATTTTAAATCATTTGAGTCTAGAACTTAACTTTGTCTTATATATAATTGCACAGTATTTCTGGAATAGCTGTGATAAAGGCTGAATTTTGGAGGAAGGCAACTACCACACACACCAAGGGAAGACAGTACTTTCTCTTGTCCACACTTTTCCCACAATGTGTTTGCCATGGCAATGCCACTCGTGGTGACTGAGCTCCAATACCATGCCCCTCTATCACCTCTAATGTGATCACCTAGAGCCGTGGCTAGTGTTCCCGTTAAGTGTGACCCACATCTAACCACCTCTAAACTTGGGTCACCAAAATACTGCAGAGGTCTCCCAGGGGCCTCAGCAGCTCAGGACCATACTCTGGAAGGTGGTATTCATTCCAGAAATGGCTTTCCACTCAAGATAAAAAGAAATGAAGAAGAGATGGGTTCTCTGCCTGCCTTGGGTTTCCTCTGCAGGACTTGTCCAGTCATCATTGCCTTTATCATCTCTTCCTCCTGGAAAGAACTTCATTCAGTAACCACGTGGTCACCATCCTCAATAAAATCTACAGAAAGGTGCCTCTCAAATATCCAAATAGTAGTCTTAAATTTGCAGAAGGTTAACAAAATACTTTTAACAATGAGAGGCACAGCCTCTTACCAGCACCTTTTCCTTCAGTTTTATTTTTTTATGATGTTTTTCATTTATTTCTGAGAGAGAGAGAGACAGCGTGAACAGAGGAGGGTCAGAGCGAGAGGGAGATACAGAATTGGAAGCAGGCTCCAGGCTCTGAGCTAGCTGTCAGCACAGAGCCCGATGTGGGGCGCGAACCCTTGAACTCTGAGATCATGACCTGAGCCAAAGTCGGACGCTGAACTGACCGAGCCACCCAGGCGCCCCAGCACCTTTTCCTTTAAAGTATAGGCTTAAGGGTCGATGGCACCTAATTCACGTAATGGCATAAAATCCGATTACAGTGAAAGGATATGGTGCTTCTAGAAGCTACAGAGGTGAGATACAGGTCTCCCTAGACAGGTACTATTCTGTAGGCCTTCTAGAGGAGGAAAATTTCATTCCACATCTAACCACCCCTCTTCCAGAAGCTTATGAACTAACTCATTTCCTTCATTGTGAACTAGGATCACCCAGGCATATAAATCTCCATTTCTTTAACACACTGTATGTAAATCCCATTAAATGGGGTTGTTGTGGTTGTTGTAAGCCACTACTGTTAGCGCATCATCCTAAACGCTGTGGGCCACACAAAGGAAACAGACAATGACCCTGTTTACCCTTAATCACCCTTAAGTCCCTCAGCTCTCTACGATTTGAAATCAGAATAATATTACTTTTCCCCTAACCCTCTAGAAAAGTTTAGAAACAGAAATTGGATCATGCCTCAATCACAAGAAGAAAGGCATTAATGGAAAACATGAAGCCGTTGCGTGTGATGGTGTTATTAGTCTGTCCCTCTCTGGGAATCAGTGGTGTATAATCCCTTGAAGTAATTTCCCCCATGCCTTTTTAAACATCATTTTAAATTTCAGGCAGCCAACAAGTGAGCCAGTATCGGCTGAATTGGGAGTAATAACAATGTGAGATTTTAATAATGGAACTCTGAAAGGGGTCCTTTTGAGGAAGCACATTATCAAGGAATTTTCTAGACAAAGAGAAAATGCAAATCTTACCTCCTACCAACAAGTAGCTGTTGGGAAACAGGGTTTTTGCTTGCATAAGTGCCCTTGCATGACCTGAGTGGAAGAGGTCAAATATTCCATCGGCATAAACTCTGACAGGCCGGTCAACTGTGGGAGAAAGAAAATATCATCAACGTAACTTCGGAATAAGGAAGCCCAGTTACCGGATTCTTCCATCGTCAGTACAGCACTGTAGGAAAGTTTCCCTGGATTAAACACGAGGTCTATGTACCATGGATCTCTTATTGGTACATGAAATTACTTGATTCTTGAGTCTGGCAGTTCTGAATGAAGGCTCCCAAGACCCGTCCCCAAAGGCAGCGTTGTGCTGGAGTCAGCTCATTCTGCTCAAAGGGACAGGTGTGTACCTTTCCTCCCAGCTCCAAGTCACTTTGGTAGCCCGAAATCAGCTGGGGTAGTATTTACAGCACAGAAATTGGCAAGTGCTACAAAGCTGGACTTATTTCCCTCCAGAGGGCCAACTGTTCAACATTTACCAGTATACCCTGCACCAAGGCCACTACCTAACCTCTCTAGCATCCTAAGAGATGGGGGCAGGGTGTGTGCCCCAAAAAGAGAAGAGTCAGGGTGCCAAAGTTACATGTGGGGGTGGTCCTCAGTGTTGCTGGCCAGCGACCAACACTACAGTCCCTCTGAGAGAAAGGTCAAGAGCAAAGCAGCCTCAAGAGACATTCTCACTGTGGCATATGGTATTCCGGCAAGTGCCATTTCATGATGAAGAGGGACACACACACTTTACCACAGCTCCTGGGAGCCAGGAAACTGTACCAGAAACTACAGGAGGACACGTGGCTGAGACAGCCCAAAGACCTACCCCCTCTAGCAAGATGGAGACACAGGGGGTAGAGGACTTGGGTGACAACTTTTACCCATTCTGGACTCTCAACAAACAAACTAGAAAGTAAAAATATGGCCAACTATAAGCTAAATATGGCAAACTGAACATATGCATATTTAGCTCCACTTCCTCCCAAATACCAAAAGAATTATAGAGAAAGAATTTAAAAGGTACAATCCCCCCCCAATTTTAAAAAATTAAAAGGTCTAATTCCCCAAGGGCAGAGGAAACAAGAAAGGCAATGAGAGTAGATGAGAGAGGTCCACGACACTTTGGAAAGGTGACTGTCAGATGCTGAGTGTCTACCAGAAACAAGAACCAGGGTTAGGGCAGGCAGGGAAAGCAGCTGCTGAGTTGTTAGGGTAGTTTTTTTTTGTTTGTTTGTTTGATTTTTTATAAGCCTAAGATTCCTACTGACTTTTAAAACTACCTGCATGTATTCTAACGATGTTGTAAAAATCAAAAAAAACCAAAGCAAATTTCTGTTATTCGAATGATATTTAAGACAGATTTAAAATTGTGATCATTTCTTGATGTAGTATAACCTCATTAATTGCGAATATAAATGAAAAGGAATGTTCCATTAATAGATTCAGATGGTACAATGTTTCTAATAAATTAAATTTTTCTAATAAAAAAAACTCAAGAGACTTTATGTCAGATAGGGAGTTGCAATTATTCCCAATTATACACCATCTTGAACAAACAGAATTGCCTTCACAGGATTATACCGGATTCTAAACAAGGCATGGTAAATAGAAAACGCTTTGAAATAACAAACTGTCTAATGAGGGATCCTTGATTTCAATGCTCTTATTGAATTTGAATTCAATTGAGGAAAATTTGTTTTAAGATATAAATCCCAGGGGAAAGCAGATGGCAGTTTTGCAAAACTTTTTGTTATTGATTCAGAGGTGATCAAGATAAATGAATTCAGGAAGCAGGGAGGAAAGAAAAGTAAAGAAAGATGACATAATTACCAAGAGAAAGACCATTTAGTAAATCTTTGAAATGTATTTATGGGGTTGATTTTGCAATAAGCTCACTTTTTCAAATTGTAGTGTGTCAGCAATTTCCAGACTGGGAAACCATGCGGGACCAAACCCCCTCCCCCCAGAACCAAGCTCTTCAACAAATGAGCACTTCAAGGGGGGAAATAAAAGATGGAAGTGGCTCTGCAGATTTCAGATTTAAAACACTTACCAACATACTGAATGTACAGACATTATTTGGATTTAGGTTCAAACAAACTATAAATAAATGATGACATGGGATAACTGGAAATTGGAACACTACTTGTTTGGCGATATTAAAGAATTACTGTTATTTTTTAGGTGCAATAATGGTATAGTGGTTATGCTTTGAAAAACCAGGTTAAGACATTTACACAGACCTACTTATGGATGTAATGATAGAAAGCCTACGACTTTGTTTCAAATAATTCAAGAGCGGGCAGTGGATGTGGGCGCTCAGGGGCCAGACTGGCACTGGTGGGTGGGTGTTAGGTATCGATAACAGACACACGAAGGTTCATTATATGGTTCTACTTTTGTGTACGTTTGAAATGCTATATAGTATTTTTTAATACAGTGTGGCTTTTTTTTTTTAGTTTGTATGTTTATTTGTTTTACTCTCGTTTCAGGTTTTTCTGGACATCCTTTTAGGCATTTGGGAATTCTCCAGGGCATTTATTTTTTTTTTTTAATGTTTTATTTATTTCTGAGAGAGAGGGGCAGCATGAGCAGGGGAGGGTCAGAGAGAGAGAGGGGACACAGAATCTGAAACAGGCTCCAGGCTCTGAGCTGGCTGTCAGCACAGAGCCCGACGTGGGGCTCGAACCCACGAACAGTGAGATCATGACCTGAGCTGAAGTTGGATGCTTAACCGACTGAGCCACTCAGGTGCCCCACTCCAGGGCATTTATAGTGGGAACCACTGGCCTGTGAAGCTGGGGGCTTCGTGATGCTCCCAAGAGAGAACACACCTATTCCGTGGCCATGGTGGAGAGACCTTACGGTGGCTCCCAGGGACCCCTGCCCCTCCGTGTTCATGCCTTTGTGTGATTTCCTCCCTTTGAAATGTGAGCGGGATCTGGAACTTATTTCTAACCAGTTGAATATGGCAAAGATGATGGATGGCACTCCTATAATCGTCTTAACGTATAGAAGATTCCATACTGCTAGCACTCACTCTTTCTCTCTTGGTGGCTTTGAAGACGCAAGCTATCATGTTGTGAGGGGGCCACAGCAAGGAACTGCAGGTGACCTCTAGGGGTGGAGGGTGGCCTCTAGCTGACAAGCAGCAAAAACCTAGATCTTTGGTTTACCGTTGCAAGCAAACAACCTGTGTGAGAACCAGATCGATCACCATCAAGCCTCCAGATGAGAAATGGGCCCCGGGTGACACATTGAATACAAACTTGTGAGACACTGAGCAGAAGTAAGATGTGGCTAAGCTGGGCTCCCAGCCCACAGAAATTATGACATAATAAATCTACATTGTTTTAAGCCACTAATTCTGTGGCAGTATGTTATGCAGCATAGAAAATGAACACAATGGCATTATAAATTTTCTGTCCACAGACTATTATAAATTTTTAGAAGTATTCCAAATAAATTCCTGTTAATCCTTAGCTGACAGAGTAAGTCTGTCAGGTAAATGTGATGTTCTGGTAAAATGTACATATGTACACCACAGGCTGATTGCCAGGTTTCAAATAATTTCAATTTAATAAACTACACCTAACATCAAAATGATGCTGAATATGTGCTTGAGAATCAGAGATACAAATTATGATGATGGTATAGTGCTATGGGGAAATCTGATTATTTTAACTGCTTGGATCTTATGCTCCAAATTTTTGTAACTTATTCAGCACTTATACACAAATGAAATTGATAAGGGGGCTATGCCTGCCTCACATCTCACATCATATGTGACAATTAACTCCAAATGGATCATAGACCATATGAGCTAAAGCTGTGAAGTTTCTAGAAGAAAACAGGAGAGAAGCTTAATGACTATGGGTTTGGCAACATTTCTTGAATAGGGCCCAAAAGGACACACCATTAAGCCAAAAAAAAAAAAAAAATTAATGAACAACTGGACCTTACTTCAAACTCACATCTTCACATTTTTACAAAAATGCAAAGGGAAGTCATAGAATGGAAGAAAATATTTGCAAAATGTTTATCTAAGACTTTTATCTAGAATACAAAAGAACTGTCAAAACTCAAGACGAATACCTCATTTTAAAAAGGGCAAGAAAACTGAGCAGATACTTCATCAAAATTATGTATACATCGATGGCAAATAAGCTCATGAAAAGATCTTCAATATCATTGGTTATCAGGGAAATGTAAATTAAAGCTGGAGTGATATACTACTTCATGTCCCTAGAATGGCTAAGAATTTAAAAATATATTGACCATACCAGGACGCCTGGGTGGTTCAGTAGATTAAGCATCTGACGTTGGCTCAGGTCATGCTCTTACAGTTCAGGGGTTCCAGCCCCGCATCAGGTTCTGTGCTGACAACTCAGAGCCTGGAGCCTGCTTTGGATTCTGTTTCCCTCTCTTTCTGCCTCTCCCTCTCTTGTGCTCTATGTTTCTCTCAAAAATAAACAAACATTAAAAATTTTTTTAAAATATATTGACCATACCAATTATTGGTGGGAGTACACAGCAACTGGAACTCTCAAACCAATGCTGGTGGGAATGTAAAATGATACAATCACTTTGGAAAGCACTTTGGCAGTTGGTTAAAAAGTTAAACATACACCTACATACAATCAGATAGGGGTCAATCACCAACCGCATTACATGTGAATTCACATATTTGTGGGTCGTGTTATGGCATTTCTTGGTACTGCTTCACACTGAGGCAGCAACAAAAGGGTGACTATCCATTTGTGATTATGGCTACTAACCTACATTTAAACAATTCTTTAAAAGTCCGTATGATTTACAAAGCATGTATCTTCCACTTAATCTTTTCATCAACTCTGTGACATATGTGGTAGAGTGGTCTTTATTTCATAGAGGGACAACGGAAGCTCAGCCAACTTAAGTAGCTTACTCAGTATCATACAACCAAACTTGGGTGAAAACCGGGTACAAACCAAACTTCACTGGGGCACCTGCGTGGCGTCAGTCACTTAAGCATCTGACTTTGGCTCAGGTCATGATCTCACGGTTTGGGAGTTTCAGCCCTGCACAGGGCTCTCTGCTGTCAGCACAGGGCCCACTTC